ACAGCGGGGAGGAGGTGGTGTCGGGAAGGTTCCAGTCCTTCTGGGCAGGGTTCTGGGACCCAAGCACCAACACTGATCTTCTCGGTAGGCTAAAACAAAGAGTCAAGCAAGCAACACAGAATGTTTACCAAGAATGTGTCATGTGCCAGCACCACTGTGAGCCACGGGGACACAGCCAGAAAGGCTGGGTGCACAAATGGGCACAGAGCCTGGCCCCATCAGCTGTTTGTCACTCTGAGCTCCCTTCCCTTCTGTGGGCCAGGCAGCTCTCAGCACCCAGCAGAGCAACTCTCCAGCAGCCGGTGTGCCGGCGTCTTGGGCTTGGACACGAGGCAGCTCTGCTCCCCACCTGGCACAGCAGCAGCTACTCTTTTGGCGACAGGCCAGGATGCCCAAGCCCTTAGAGGTCAGCAAGACAGCAGCACTGTCCAGGCCCAGCCCGGGGCCGATGGACAGAGGCAGAACCAGCTGTGCGGGCTCCCGGGCACAGCCAGGGGTCCCAGGTCCCCAAAACCTCCTGTGCTGGGCTTGTCTGGCCCCAGGCTCTTCCCAACGAAGGGGGATTCAAACTCACAACATGAGGGTCACCCAGGAGTGTGAACAGACGGAAAAGTTGCACCCCAACACCCACCGGGGCCTCGCCCGCAGATCCCACCCTGATCCAGGAGGCTAGGACTTCGGGATCGCTATGAGCTGCCAGGAGTCTCGGCCGCGGTGCCCACAGGGCCGGGTGAGAGGGGCAGCGCCCCAGGAGGCAAGATCTCCTGGGCTGAGGGACCAGGACGGAGGTCGGTCCGAGGCGCCCCTTGTCGGCGACGAATGTGAGTATCAGGGTCCGAGGCGACTTCCCTCAGGGGCTACAGTGAAAGATAAGGGTCCGACGACCGAGGGGCGGACTTTGCTTCCGCGGAGGGTCTTTTCGGAAGGCTCAGCGTGATCGCGGAGCCGGCGGGCCCGGAGCGGCCTAAGCGCCACCTGCTGGTGCCGGAGAGCAGCGTCCGCGCGGTCTGGTGGCGCCACCTGGTGGCCTCTCGGGGAATCCCGACCCCGCGCACTGTCCAGCAGGGACAGAGACTTGCGCCGCAGCATCCCCCGCAGTTCAGGGTCCTGCCCTGAGGGCCGGACGGAGATCCGCTGCCCCTCTGCCCGGCCCCGGGCCTTGGCTTCTCAGAGTGGCTCCTTTCACCCCGTCCCCATCTCTCTGGTTGTATCATCCTGAGTTTATCGCTTCATTCCCCGAACTTCCGTTTGTCCGGCTGGAAAGGGGACACTAACAAGAAGACTTGGCACAAGGCTGGGGATTGAGGGGGCAGGACGACCCGGCCGTGGTGGGCGCCCGCACCGCACCCCACTCCACCCCAGGCTCCGGTTCGCGTGCTGGGAGGTCAAAGATGCTCTGCCAGGAGACAGAGACGCTGCCTCCACTCCAGGGCCCAGGAGCTTCTGGGCCACTCCCAGGGCCCTGGCTTCAGCCCTGGAAGACGCACCCTGCCTGGAGCTGGTCCTCCTGGAGAAGTTGGGGGAAATTCTTGGAGTGAGGCCCTGCCAGAGGAGGAATAGCCCTCTCACCCCTGGAAGCCCACCTTCTGGCTCTCCGCTCTCCCATCACCCGGGCATCCTGAGTTTGAAGGAAACCAAGAACGCCGTTGCTGGGACAGGTTCTGTCCAGTGTGTGCAGGCCTGGCTGGCCAGAGAGCTCGGCTCCTGCCCCACCCTGTCCCTGTCCAGGATCCCCACCCACGTGCATTCATTCCAAATGGGGGACCCCTGTAGTGTACAGGTGGGAGGATTAAAACGGAGAGAACAGTGGTGAAAATGACACGGTTGTTTTATTTGGGCAGCCCGGAGTTTAAAGAGGAAGCAAAGGCAAGAACCTCATCACAATCCCATAAGAGAGGCGGGGGGTGGGGGGCTGGGAGGATGCAGGAGGATTCGGGAGGCCAGGGGCATTGCCTAGAGGAGGCCAAGGGGGCGGAGGCTCCGAGGCAGACCTTCCACCTGGAAGGGCACTTCCAGCAGGATAGGCCAAACAGACCCGAGACCAGTATCTGCATCTTGGGGGTGCTGTGTTTGTTACCCACCCTCGCAGTCTAACTCCTAATGGAAAATGGGGCCTCCAGGGGTGACTGAGGAGGGGGAGGGCCTTAAGGGTGCCATCAATGCCCTGATGAAAGGAGACAGTAACCGCCTTTGTGCCTCAAGGGCACCAAGGGGAGGAGCTCTCCAGTGAACCCCTTGGTGCTCCATTCTCAGACACCCCAGCCTCAGAACCATGAGAAATAAAGGTAGGGTGATTAAAGCACCACTCTATGGTAATTCATTGTCACTGCATGAACTAAGACACAGAGTTGGGATAACTGGAGTGCCTGAGGCTCCGAGGTGCAGGCAGGGTTGAGAACTGCTAAGTAAAGGCTTGGAGGGACGAATGCACATGCCTGTTTAGGACAGAGTAGCCCAGCAGGGCAGGAATGTGGCCGGCATGAGTTGGGTTAAGAAATGAAGGGCAGCAGGTCACACTAGGCGATTTCCTCAGAAGCAATGTACAATTCTTGCTAACGTGAAATAAACTTAGAAGCAGCAGGGCTTTTAACGTGTGAAGTGCCGCCCTGACAACCTCCTCTTCTGCACTTGAACAGGCCTTCTAGAGCCCCCAGAAGAAGGCAACTTACTTCTGTGTTTCTGGTGTTCCTGCACTTTCCTTGGGCCCTCCCCAGGAACATCTTACAGTTTCCCCAGGGGCTGACTAATTTTTCTAATCACAAGACCTAGGTTGATTTTTGCAAGAAGTACTCAGAAAACACTTCTAATAACCGGAGGGAGGTGTAAACAACTGGTACTCCCTGGCGGGTCTGCATGCGGCTCATACACTACCTTGCTACTGATTCTGTCCTGTTCCAGACTGGGGCTGTGGGAGGACTCTGCAACAAAGATGGGAGGGCAAGTGAGTTCTTCACAGGGCAGCAATCTCAGGAATTCCCAGTAGAGGAGTGAGGACGTGAGACCAGGGAAGGAAGGAAGCAGGGACAGAGTGCAGTAACGAGCAAGGGAAGCTTGAGGCCGCTGGAAGTGGGGACCCAGGAGGCAGCCGCCCCAGGGTTAATCCTAGGTCATGTGGCATCACATAGCCACCAGCCCTGTTAGCCACTCACTCAGGACTGCTCCCAGGCCCCTGAGAACAAGAGTGACAATCCTACTGAGTAGCTTTAGTGGCTGGGATGGGACTGGCCATTGCATGTGTTCATGGAGTCATTCAAGAAAACAACTGCTTAGACGAGTTCTATCAGAGCTAGCAAGGAGCAGCTTAGAGGATTTTAACTGAGCTCAAGGAACACCTTTCAAGAACAAAGGCATATGGCTTGTACCCAGGTACCCTCCACTCGAGGCCCATGTTCTCACAGCTGGGGCTTTTCAGAGCCCACTGCATCTAGAATGGCTTAAGAGTGTGTGACACTAAATTAGTCCGCTGATTGATTTAGCAGTTCTGGGTGTGGCCGATGGAAAAGCCCATCCTGGGTACGAGTGGCACCACCCAAAGTCTTTTATCCTGGATGAGATAAAAGGGAAAGGGAGGCTGGCTGCTTGCTGCATCCTGCCTGTAATGCCATGGACTGTTTTGCCTCTGCCCTGCCCCCCTGCCGGGCCTCCCTGGCTTGGAGCCGGCTGACTGTGTTTAAGACCTCTACCATGCTGCTTCCCTGCCTTCTGTTTGCCACACCATGAACAGTTTGTGTTCTGTGTTACACTTCACCAGGCTGCCCTTCTTTGGAGCCAGCCCACTATGGACTGAAACTTCAATAAACTGTGAGTTAAAATTTAAAGAAAAAAAAAAAAAAAGACCTCTACCAACTGTGAGCCCAAATCAACCTTTCCTCTTTAACTGTTTTTTTTTTTCTTTTTCCTTCTGTATTTTAGGGAAGGGTCTACAGGGTGTTCAAGGTCTCACTACTAGATCACACTTGTAATGATTCTCCTGTTTACAGCCTCCCAAGAGCTGGGATTATAGGCGCACACCACTACGCCCAGTCTCAGTCACCATCTCAGTGCACCCCAGGGGTGGGGCCGGCACAGCAGGCCCAGTGATGACACCCCCGTCCCCTGCGCCTGCTTGCACATGCTTTAATCCGCTGAGCTGTTTGGCCGGCCCTCCTCTTTAACTGTGAGGGTCAGGTATTTTGTCTCAGCAACAAGAAAAGTAGCTAAAACAAAAGGTAATATTTTCCTCACCTTATCAAAAGCCAGGGACACCATCAGATTTTTTCATCTACATAAAGTGATGCTTTTTTTAAATGGGGGGAAAAGCTGGGTGTGCTGATGCATGTCTGTAATCCCAGCACTCAAAAGCAGAGGCAGAAGGATCTAAAATTCAAGCCCAGCCTGGGCAACTTAACAATTTAGCAAGACTTTATCTCAGGGGCCAGGGAGATGACTCAGTAGAATAAGCACTTTCCTGGCAAGCTAAAGGGCCTGAGTTCAATCCCTGGTTCCACCAAATAAATAAATAAACAAATAAATATAAAAAAAAAATTTAAGAAATACTTTATCTCAAAATAAAAAAGGGGTAAAAATGTAGCTCAGTGTTAAGGCCCTGCCTGGGTTAAATCCCCAGTACCACCAGAAAGGAATGTAAATAAACAAATAAAGAAAGACAGGAAAATTAATTAGATTTTAAATAATGGTCATGAGTTTTTTTCCGCAAGACTTGATACAAAAGGTACTGAACAGATTTTAGCAGGGCCTCGAGACTGAACTTAGGGGCCGGGGAGATGGCTCAGTAGAATAAGTGCTTCCCTGGCAAGAGCAAGGGCTTGAGTTCAATCCCCAGCTCTGGAAAAAAAAAATCAAGACTGAACTTCAAGCCTCAAGGTTGCAATGGGCCTCAGTGCCGCTGAAGGATTTAAAATTCACACTTTGGCATGGTGTGCTGTTTTAACCACACAACACCAAAGACAAGGTGAGAAAAACCAGCTGAGCCTGTCTGTCACCTGGGAGAGGCGGAGCCTTCACTTTTTCACAAGGTGGTAACACTTCCCTTTTGCAAAGGACAGCATGAGATTTTTGTAGGTGTCAATGATCCTGTTTTGCATCAACTTGAAAGCAATAAACACAATCTCCATTCCCACGATGATGTAGATGGAGAAGAACAAGAAGAAGTCAGGGTGAGCTAACTTAATGTCCCCAAAGCCAATGGTGGTCAGGGTGACAAAACAGAAATAGAAGGCCTCCTCAAAGTTCATTTCTTTCTCCCAGCAAGGCAAGACGGCAGCGGCACAGGAAATGTAGGCAAAGACCACAAGGGTGATGACAGGGAGGGGGATGTCCAGCCTCTCCACTTCCTGGCCCACCTCGTCCAGGTTGCTGATGATGGAGTACGAGAGCCTCCCCAGCCCCAGCTCGGGGCATGAGCTGCTCCTGTCCATAGTGCACGGGGGCAGCTGGAGCAAGTTCTCCTGCTGTCTGGTGACAAATCTCTCGAATAGCTCTATGTTGCCACCTGGGGCTGAAGGACACCGGCCGGGATTAGGGCTGGGCGGCTCTCTGTCATTGATGATGATCTGAGGGATGGCTTCGTCTGTGGGCCTGGAGCTGGACTTTCTCCTGCAGGGCAGCAGGGAGCACCACATGGAGGGCGAGCAGAGGAAGAAAGGAAGTGTTCGGAGCCCATTGTAAGACTTGGATAAGACAGCTGCCAGGATGTCACCGATGTCTGTGAGGACCAGGAACATCAGGGGGATGCCAAAGAGGGCATAGAGCATGCACAGGAACCTGCCAAGTCTTGTGACAGGGAACATGTGGCCATAACCTGCAAAAGAAGACAGAGCCCAGAGCTATTGTCAGTTTCCCAACCCCCTTAAAAGTTTTTATGACACGTCCTGCTATTGCTCTTACCATGACATTGTACACAATATGTGTAAAAATATTCATTTTGGGGCAACCCACTCAGGTCCCCTTCTGTCCCTCTCTTAGAAGCTTTCTTTCCCCCAATAAATGTATTCTGCTCTTAACCTCTGTTGTTCCTAAATTTTATTCTTCACTTTTGGAGAACACAAACTCATTCCAGGTATCTTTCAGGTTGAGAGTTTCATCCCCTATATCATTTGGAAGTCATCCACTGAGATCATTGTACAGCGACTGAAAGCTATATGCCCACCAAGATGAAAATGCCTGGTATCTACTGTGGGCCTTTAGGCAGAAACGCCGGAGAGTTTCTCCAACTACAACCCCTTTCAGCCTGAAGAACCCAGAAGAGTCATCACCCATGATTCCCTCAGGGCAGTTACTTCTTCAGAGCAGGGAATGTTATAGGTAGCTGAGCTAGACAGAATTATTATAGGCAGTCAGGTAGGCCCAGGCCTGGAAGGAAACAGTATGAAAGGCAAGATACCTTGCAACTGTGGAAGAGACAGACACTCTCACTGTGGGCCAGGCCTCAAGACTAAACATCAAACAAATGTACCATATACCTCCCTAAGTATAAATATCAGGAATTGGTACTCTAAGTAGGTCTCTATCGTCTTGAGAAAGCCAGGAAGAGTCACTAACCCAACCCCTTCTAGGAGAAGCCCCTGTTCTGTATTCACGTCTGCTCACTATGTGACTCGATTCCCATTTGATCCTGATTTAATCCATCTTACCTGAGCAATTATGCTTTTAATCTTATTGGTTGACCACAGTTTTGTCCCACCTCATGCCCACCTTGCAAGTTCCCATGTTTCCTACCTTGGACCCACCTTACCTTGTTAATTTGCTCTATAAAAATCTCTAGAAAAGACAAGGTCCTTGGCAACCCACTAGGGCCCCCCTCAGTCCATCTCTAAGATGGAAGCTTTCTTCCCCCCAGTAAATATAGTTTGGGGGCCAGGGAGATGGCTCAGTGGAATAAGCATTTGCCTTGCAAGTATGAGGACCTGAGCTCAATCCCTGATTCTGCCCCCCCAAAATATATATAAATATATATTCTGCTCTAAAAAAATCATCTCAGGCTAGAGTATGGATTGGTAGGAAAAGATGTGTTTAGCATGTATAAGGCTGCAGGTGCAATCTGTATCACCAAAAAATAATAATAATAAAAATAAGTAAATAAAAAGAAAATGTTCATTTTGAAGAGTTTATCACTTGTATGGCATTAGGTCTGCCTTGGTGGAGGGATGAATGATAGCTAACTGTTGTGTCAACTTGTGTAAGAAATGCCCAACTGTTTGGCTTAGTGTAGTTTCAGGTGTGAATGGCAGACTTGCTAAAGAGAGAAGACTTGGGTGTGGGTGGCACCAACCAATAGGCTTATAGCCTGGATGGAATAGAAAGGAAGAGGAAGAAAGGCACGACTTCCTGCCGGCTGTGCCACGCACTGTGTCCCCTCTACCATGCCCCTCTGCCATGCCAACCTGCCTTGGTGTCAGCTTACTATGGGTTAAAACCTCTATAAACTGTGAGCTAAAGTAGACCTTCCTTCCTTTAACTTGTGGGTGTTGGGTATTTTTTTCTCCGCAAAGAGAGAAGTAACTAGAACAGATAGGAACGAAACCAGCTTCTCTTTAAAATAAAGAGCAACTTCTACCCAGCTGTTTGACTCAAGATGCCCTTGACAGGGGACAAAGGCACAAGCGTATGTTGGAGGTCAGATGGCTGCCCTTCCTCCTGCTGAGGCTGTCTTTGCATGTCCCCACATGGATGGGGTCAGCTTGCCTGGAAGCACAGGAAGAATGCAGGTGACAGGAAGTTATTTTCATGACTTTCTTCATCTTCCAAAGACTCTTTTTTAAGAAGCCGCCTTTGACCTCCCTGGCATGTCTGGATCTCCTGCTTTCCTTTTTTGTATACAGTAGGCCCTTATATGCCAATAGTCTGTGTAATATTGGGGACTAGAGAGAGATGGAAGACACAGCTGTTGCCCTCAGAGCCATTTGCAGTTTCACAGATGAGACAGACATATTCATAAACAACAGGGAAGCTGTCAGCCTCCCACATCTAGAAGTTCACAGCCTTGGTTCAAATCCCAGCTCTGCTGCTTAGTGCTGTTGCTTGGCTGCTTGCACTTTCAGGTTTCCTATCCATAAGGTAAGAGGTGAGCATCTCTACTTCCACAGTGAACACTGGGAGGATCCCAGGAGCTGAGAACTGCACCCAGTGGAGGGCTGAGCATGGTGTCTCCACCCTCCAGAGTCCATGGGCACCTACTGCACTTCCTGTGGGTGGGTACTGACCAAGATCTTGATAGATCTTGATAAGATAGGGCATCATCGTTGCCATTCACAGATGGGGAAACTGAGAGTGGGAGAACAGAGTGTCACAGCCAAGTGCATAAGTGCGACAAATCGTGGTCTGGTGTGCAGGTTGCTCAGGCCCGCAGTGGGTGTTTCCATCGTGGTGGCTTTCATCACGAGGAGCCCTGCAGCCTGGAGCCCTGCTGAGCAGGGAAAGGAAGTGGCAGCCTGGTGATGCCATGGCTCCCTGGGCCCCACCTCTGCCAACTGAGGGTGGGAGTGGAGACTGCACCCCTCCCCTGCCGTTGCTTGCAGCCTCCAGGGTGGGAAAGCTCCGATGATTTCAATGAGCAGAGCAAGAAGCTTTTGTGTTTCATGACTATGTTTCATTTTTGATGTCATAAGGGATAATTAATTCAGAAGATGCAGCTCAATTATGTAAATTAACTTGAAGGCAATTCCTAGGCTGGCCAGGCGCCAACCTCGTCCAGGACTGCTGCTCCTTGTGGCAAACTCCAGCCACAAAGTGAACCTCCTGGGAGCAGGGTGGCATTCAGGATGCACCCATCACAGTGTCCCCAGCGAGGGAGGGAGCTGTGGCCCTAAAAGGGTGTCATGGGTAGGTGTCTGTCCCAAAGTACCCCACATCACTGTGGCTAGTTGGGGGAGCAGTAGGAGTGGTAAGCTCTGTGTTCATTCATTCATTCATTCATTCATTCATTCATTCATTCATCCAGTGAGTGTTTCTAGAGTTCTTGCTGCATGTACTGGGGACATGGCAGTTAAAGAAGTAGTTCTAGGGTTGGTCTTGCTGGGCTCCTGGCTTAGTGCAGAAGGCAGATGTATCAACAAAGCATCCACACTTTCAGGAGCACCACGACAGAGATCAACAACAGATACTGAGACGGCAGCGCATGCTTTGTGAGGTTGGGAAACCAGCACCAGTCCTGGACTTAGGCTCAGGAAAGGTGTCCTGATAAGGTGGCTCTGTGGCACAGATGGAGAAGGGGACCAAGAATTAACCAGACAAAGCAGTGGCAGCAGCACAGGCAAAGGCTGTGATAGGTTTCCGAAAGGGTTGTCCTCATGGTAGGAAGTTCATGTACTGCCTGGGTGGCAAGGGACTGGCCCGGAGCTGAAATCTCGCCTGCTGTGTTCTCACCAAGCTGTGGGGCCCGGGCTCAGGGCCCAGAGTCCTGTCTGCTCAGTGGAGACATGGCTTTCTAAGTGCTTCCTAAAGCTTTAGCCAGAGTGAGGAACCGAGAGAAGGCCAGGGTGACAGTGGACACAGAAGCAGGGGGAGGGGCACTTCAAGAGCTGTGGAGGTAGGCAGGGTGTAAGGACTTGCACAGGCTCTGAGGACAGGAGAGGGGGAGGGGAAGCGCCACCCCAGTCTTAACTCACTGAATCTGGAATCTGGAAAGGGAGTCTGCGGATGTGATGAAGGAGTGTGAGAGATTCTACCTGCAGGGGCTCTACTGGCCACCATGAGGGTCCTATCAGGGAAAGGCAGAGGGAGACTTTACACACAGAGGAGAAGGTAGTGTGGCCTCAGAGGCAAAGACCAGAGCAAGGCAGTCACAAGTCAAGGAATTCGTGGTGGCACAAGCCTGTAATCTCAGCTACTCAGGAGGCTGAGGCAGGAGGATCCAAAGATCAAGGCCAGCATGGACAACCTAGGGAGGCACTATTTGAAAATAAAATAATGAAAGGGGATGGGGATATCACTCTCCAAATGCTGGGTTCAGCCTCCTCCAGTATGGAGGAAAAAATGTTGGCAACCACCAAGCTAGACAAAATCGGGATGACCCCTCCCCAGAAACTCTGCAGGGACTGTGACCCTGCCAACAGCTTGATCTCTGACGTCAGCACAGTTGATGTCACATGTCTGGCCTCCTGAACGTGACAGACTTGTGTGGCTGCTTTGGCCATAGCTCCAGGGAAGACGAACCAGTCAGGTCTGCATCCTGAAAGGGTCTCACCCAGGCTGTGCTGCAGAGAGCTGGGCCATTGCACAGCTGTGCCAGGAAGCCCGGTGGGGAGGCACTGGTACCTGTGCCAGGGCAGAGGCTGCGCTCGGCCGAGTGGGCCTCAGGAGCACAGCGTGCATGGACCGGCTTAGCATCAGTCTGGGCAGGGATCTTAGCAGGGTTGGATTTGGAGTATCAGAAAGGAACTGGGGACTTAAGCACTGAGCAGGCCGATCCAAGTCGTTGGATATCAGAATCACTGATGAGTCCGCACACTCGGAGTCTGCACACAGAATCCAGAACCACACAGACGGCAGCAGGGCAGCTCATGCCTGGCACTCAGAGGGCTGAGGCAGGAGGATCACAAGTTCAAGCACAGACTGGGAACCTAGCAAGACCCTGTCTCAAATTTTTAAATATAATAAAGAGGGGTGGGGAGGTACCTTGATGCAAAGATCCTGAATTCAATCCCTAGTAGTAGAAGAAAAAGAAAGAACATGTATTTCTGGAATCAAGCATGAAGGAACTCGGCATCTTGCTCTGTGACTCACAAGATCTGTGACCCTGACCAATGGGCTTTGTGGCTTGCTGCTGCAGTTTCCTTGGGCATGAGAGGAGGGGATGCGAGCCCCCCAAGTTGCAAATGATTATTATGGTCCAGGGAGATAGCTCAGCGGTCTAAGCACCTGCCTGGCAAACGCAAGGACCATGGTTCAATCCGTGATCAGCACAATATGCTATGCCAGCTTAGAACTCTGAACACATCGCACTGGCCGCTAAAACCAGGCATGGTGGTGCACACGTGTAATCCCAGAGCTGGGGAGGTGGAGACAGGAGGATCACTATGAGTCTGAGCTGCCTTATGAGGCCCTGTGCCAAATAAATAAATAAATAAATAAATCCTTTAAAAATTAAAAATAAGGGGCTGGGGAGATGGCTCAGTAGAATAAGCACTTCCCTGGCAATCATAAGGGCCTGAGTACACTCCTCGGTTCCGCCCAAAAAATTAAAAATTAAAAATAAATGATGACTACATGGGAAGGGCTTAAAACTCTGCCTGGCCCATAGTAAGTGCTGCTTCATGATTCCTGAGCTACTAACAGGAGACATGGTCGGGGAAAGCACTGACCCGCTGCTGGAAGCAGGGCCACTGCGCAGTGCCCCTTTCAGAGGGACAGCGTGTTTGACCTCTGCGCTGCTCTGCGACACCAGCCAAGAGGGGTGTGGTCCCAGCTGCAGAGGAGGCTAGACACAGAAGGGACTGTAGGTCTCACACAGCACTGGCACTCCTGGCCAGCTGGAGAGGACGTGGGGTTCCCCTTCTCCTTCCATGCAGCGCGGCTCCAGGCCCCGTGAGTTGGACCACTGTGGAGCGCCCTTTTAGTTCATTCATTCATTCCTTTCTTTTCAGACAGAACGATCTGTTTACTTGAAGGTGGATCTGATCACAGCCCTGCCGCCTCACTTAGAGTAAATCCAGTCTTCACGATGCCTTGGGGCTCTGCAGCCCTCCCTTCACCTCCCGCCCTCCCTTCATTCAACTCTGCTTCAGCCCACTGACCTGCTTACTTGCCCTAAAAAATCCTTGGGGAGGATCCCAGAGCAGGCACAGCTCCTGTGCACTGCACCTAAAATACCACCCTCCAAAGCCCCCTCACTCCTCTCGCTCCCCTCATGTCAGCTCTCTTGCTCCTCTGTGGATGGAGGGCTCCTCCATAACACCTTACTTAGTCACAGCCTCTGCCTGTCCACCCCATTCCCCTCTTTACTACTCTCTGTGAAATCTGTAACTCTCTAGTAGACTCTGAACACTTGTTTATTGCCTGTCTCACCCTCTAGGTGGAGGGCCTTGTCCATGTCATGCCTACACATCCTTCATGTGGCTAGAACAGTGTCCAGCACATCACTAGAAGTTGAATGAGAGTGCCGGGGAGATGGCTCAGTAGAACAAGCACTTGCCTGGCGAGGGGAAGGACCTGAGTTCAATCCCCAGTTCTACCAAATAATAAAATGAAATAGAAGTTGAATGGGTGCATATATTGAGCACCTATTTATGCCAGGCACCTAGGGTGGGGTTGGGGCACAAGAAAGGGCAGGCAGAGGTCACCTGTCCCTCTGGGGCATGGCTGGATTTCTCCTGCAGTTCAGTGAGCAGGGCCATGGGATGCAGGGGGAGTCTGGGCTCAGGACATCAGTACAGTGCCCAAGCCTGGTATGGGCATCACTGGGCCACCAGCTGAAGGATGGCAGCGGCAGCCACCAACAGGTTGCCACCTTGTATTCCAGGCAGTGAATAAGCCCCCCACGCCAGTTCTCAGGCACCCCAGTAGTAACTAGTAACCTCTCAGCCTCCAGGATGGTAGCCAGGGTTAAACTGATTTTTTTTTTTAATGTATTTGGTACAGGGTCTCGCTACAGCTCAGATTTATAGTGATCCTCCTCTTTTCAGCTTCCCCAGTGCTGGGATTACAGATGTGCGCCACCATTTCTAGTCTCGCTGGCCCGCTCAACATGCCCAGGGGAAGGGCGTGCACAGTATGTGGTGCCAGGTATTGAGCCCTGGTCCCTGCATTTGCCCAAGCAGGCACTTAGTCCACTGAGCTATCTTGCTAGCCCTAAACTGATTTTTATTTAGCAAATTTCAATCTCTCTCTCTCTCTCTCTCTCTCTCTCTCTCTCTCTCTCTCTCTCTCTACTGGAATTGACCCCAAGGCCTCATGCTAAGCTATATATCCCCAGCTCTTTATTTTTATGTTTTAAATTTATTTATTTATTTATTTGGGCACAGGGTCTCATTCCCCAGTTCGGACTCAGTGATCCTCCTGTCTCAGCCTCCCAGCACTGCGATTACAGGCATGCACCACCACTGCCAGTATCAGTAGCCAGCACAGCTCTAGGATCAGCAGAATATGTGATACTAGGGATCGAACCCGGGTCCTCATGCTTGCCAGGCAGGTGCTTAGACTGCCCAGCTATCTCCCCAGCCCTTTAAATTTTTTTTTTTTTTTTTTTTTTTACTTTTACCTTGGGACAGCATCTCATCAAATCTCCAAGCTGTTCAGGCCATTCTTGAATGACCTCCTGCCTCAGCCTCTCAGAGTGCTGGGATTAAAAGCCTGCTTCATTGCACCCAGGTAAATATCTAATACTTCTGGCAGGATTTATAATGTACCTTTTAAAGTCAAAATTTCCTGCACAGCTAAACTGCTAATGTTGATAATCTCCAATGACACCTGCATTTAGTAGATAAGGAATGGAGAAATCTGGTGCCCAGACTTGGCCACGGTGCACACCCTCACCTGAAGACCTGGTTTATGGCACGCCCAACCCACAGAGCCCTTGGGACATAGACTCGGCGAGCTGCAGACCAAGAGCCCAGGAGCACCTTTGAGGAGGGTGCGCTGTCACTCAGAAGACATGCAGCACCCGGAAAATGTCCCGAGAAGCGAGTCTCCGAGAGCACACGGCTCCTATTAAGGGAAAGGATTAACCCAATTACAGAAAGCCAAAATGCACAGGGCAGAACGGGTCCCTGTAACGCAGTCGCAGAACTGCGGACCTGTAATATGTTCACACATCCTGACCAATCAGCCCACCGCACTTATTTAGCCTGGAACCGTTTAACAGTGAAGCGTTTTCTGTTCCGCTCCAAGGGGGCTGACCCGGTGGGGAACGGCAAGGCCCCCACCCACCTCACCCTGGGCTGGTATCCAACTCAGCACTGAGGCCAGGTGTATCAGGTGACCCCAGGATGCGGGGCAGGAAGCATTATCAGCAGAGAGCCCTTCAGGCATCGTTATTGATTACAGACCACAGGGAGCCTCTTCTAAGGTAATTACGGGGGCTATGATGTCATCATTCTCCTGGACAACAATGTAATGCAGTTCCATTAAGTCACTGATTCCGAGCCTGGACTCTCATCAGAATTACCTGGAGGGCTCTAAAAAATGCTGATGCCTAGGTCCCGAATGAGTTGGTCTGGGGCAGGATCCAATCATGAGAACTAGTAAAAGACATAGACATGATTCCAATACGCAGGCCGGGGTTGAAAACCCAAGCCTTGGATTAGTACTTCCTCAAATGTCAGCTTCCATCCAAATCAAGTGAAGAGTTTAAAATACAGACCGCTGTGCCCTTTCTGCTTAGCTTCTAGCTCCACAGATCTCAAACGGGGCCTGGAACCTGCATTTCTAGCAAGGTCCACAGAGATACAGACTTTGCCACCCGGGAAGCTCATGTTCACAACCACCGCAGCAGATCTGTCTGCAGCAGGTCTGAAACAGGCACTCGTGCAAGTATCCAAAGATAGTTTGGGTGACACAATGGCTGGGCGGGGGAGGGGAGAACTCCAGAGATGCTGCCCACCTTCCCATAACAAAAGCCCTGGTGGAGAGGCCACAGGGTCCATCCTGTCACGGGCCCAGAGTACCCCTTGATGTCCTCATCCCCACGCTGGTCACTCACCCTCAAGATCTTTACAGTGTTTTCATTGCTGGGTCCCCCACCCCCAGGTAGCTACCTCTGCTCTGCTCATAGAATCCCCTGAGCAGGGCTGGTGAGATGGCTCAGTGGTCTAAAGCACCTACTTAGAACAGCTTAGCAAAGCGCAGGGACCACAGTTCAATCCCCCAGCACCACATGCCAGCCAGCCTCGCCCCCTGGTGGGCTGAGCTGGACACACACACACACACACACATATAAATTAAGTAATTAATTAATTATTTTTTTTAAAAAAAGAATCCACTGAGCATGTAGCTGTCACACACAAACTACACGGGCTGCCTGTGAACACTTCTGTCTTGCCCAGGAGTCTGTGGGCTCCACAATGGCTCGGGCCACGCTTGCCCTGTTTCCTGTACTTTGTATAAGAATACTCAGGAGGGGCTGCGGAGGTAGCTCAGCTGTCTAAGTGCCTGCCCAGCAAGGACAAGCACCAGGGTTCGATCCCTGGTACCACATGTCATGAGGCCACCGGCATGGTGTGCAAGCCTGTAATCCCAATGCTGGGGAGGCTGAGACAGGAGGATCACACCAAGTCTAAACTGCATAGTGAGACCCTGTATCCAATAAATGAACAAAACTTAAAAAAAAAAAAAAGAATACTCAGGAGAAGGGGCCACAAGGGCCCGCACCAGGCCCACACCTACCTCATGTAGCCTCTCCCTATGAAGGAAGGCCTCACACAAAGGTGATGATGGGCCTGGAGTAGAGCTCACCACTGTACTCCTGTGCTGAGGATAGTGTCCGCTTGTGCCCAGAGGCCTGGCACAGTGCAGGCAATCGGATCAGTCCTTTCTTACATTAAGTGAGCTGAGTGTCAAGCACCCTGCCTAGAGAAGCCCCTCCACCCCGCTCTGTCTCCCAGGCAGGCTGTGGGCGGTGGGTGCAGAAGAGCTGCCCTGACACTTACCCACCGTGCTGAACACCGTGCAGCAGAAAAACAGCGCACTCGAGAAGTTCCACTCCTGCGCCTTCTGGGACCACCTCTCAGGCTTCGCGTTCTCCAGAAGTCTCAGCACTTCCTGTTTCTCATCTTTCGAGGCTGGGGAAAGAGGCCAGGGTACGTTGGGGGCTCTGCCCATCTCGACAGCTCCACCCAGCCCACAGGGAGGGGGTCTCCCAAGGACCAGAAGCTCACCACCGCGGGCCCCCTTCAACACCAATGCCTTAAAAGGTCTCCGTAGCTCGGTTTCTGACCCTGCTCCCTTGCAGATGGGGAGGCCCCATGAGAACCCCTAACACACGGCCCCCCGGCACCCCAGCTCAGCCACAGAACTGCTGCACACCTCTGGGTGCTCCCTTCCCTTTGAGAGCTTCCACTCCTTTCACCTTTCAGAGGGCGATAAAGACTTCTCTGGCTCCCTTGTGGGATTCCAAGGAATAGAAAGCAAAGTGGCTTTTAGGAAATGTAAGCCATAAATCAGATGCAAAGCATACCCGCTCCTGGCAGGCATTAAGCCTGATGTGGTGGTCATACCAGGTCGCCAGCACCAGCTCCTGGAGCTGCCTCTTCTAGGCTAGGAAGTTTTGGCTTCTAAGACATTGACCCCAGCCTGAGAGCGCAGAGTGGGGAGCCCTGGTTTTCCAGAGAGATTCCCAAATGCTTCTGCTAGCCTGGGCAGCCAGTGTGCTAGGCCACCCAAGAAGCTGCCTGACAGGCCCTGGTCTGGTTGAAAAAAGATGGCGCCCTGCCTGGCACACAGGGGGAGCCCCCACTCCTTTGAATGGCACCAGCCTGGGAGTCCATTCTAGGCTGAGGCTGACCCTGGCTACTCCCTGTAGTCGTGGACAGGAGGCTGCTCTCCCAACTGAGTTTTCCTGTCTAGGAGGCGGGACAGGGTAGCAAGACACTCAGCCTCGGAGTCCAGATGCCTGGGGTTGAATCCCTGGGACTATTTCTCTAGTCTGGAATTTGGACAAGTTGATTAACCTCCCTGTGTCTCACCTCTCCAAATCGCAAAATAAGGATACTTTATACCCAACCTACAGTGCTCTTGGGAAGATTAAATGGGATACGATGTGGCCCAGGGTCTATTCAAGTAGTACTTCAAAATCCTGTTCATCTTCAACAAAAGACAGTACAAGATGGAGCTGGACCACCCCTGTGTTCTCCAACCCTACTGTAAATTGAAATCGCCCAAGAAAATGAAGATTTCCAGCCTGCCATGCACTTTTTGGTAAAATGGGGCTGGGACGAGCCCTGCGAAGCCTGTTTTAGACATCCTGGATAGTTGCAAAGTGTGGGCTGGCTTGGAGCTCTTTAAACATGCTGGAAGCCAAGCTTCCTACAGAGGCTGAGGCGCCTCCCAGGTGTCGCCCTGCTAGCAAACCCAAAACAACCTCCCTGAGGGAGACGCAGCCTCCCTGCACCCTCCTGAGGCAGCCAGCGCTGAAAGAATCAGCTTAAGACAAGGTCCAGCCTTGGGAGGAGAGCGGGCTGGTGGCTGGGCCTGCCCACATCAGGGAGGGAGAGACAAGCTCCTCGCACCTGTCCCTGCCCTGGCTTTGTGAGCCTCTTGGTCCTCTATCTTCTATTCACGTACTCTCTCAATTTCTGTTGTTCCATTGAATACATCTTTGCAAACTTCCTTTGGAGGAAGCATGTGATTAAATACAAATAGACCGCAATAAGGCCGACTGGAAAGTACCTTCTGTTTTCCAGAGGCTGTGTGTTCTGTATCTCTGCTCCCCACAGAGTCCCGAGTGGTGTGTGGTCCCCTTCTCTACAGGACAGAAGCCACACAGCCAGGTGAGATGGCCACAACCCGGGCTGCCCCTGGGTTCACCTCACAGCCCTTCCTTCCTCCCAGTAGACCAAGTCCTTGAAACAGCAAGTGTAGGGTCACAGGCAGGCTGCTTGCCCATCTGATCCCAGGTTGAATGATTCCTTCAATTCCACCCTGCCCACTGAATCTGGGGTCAGGCAGGCACACACACTCTGAGGGGCAGCCTAGGAAGCTGCCGGGCCTCATCTCAGCACTCTGCTCTGCTGCCTGCCCTCTCCGGAGCCCGCCTGCAAGGTGGGGTGGGGCTGAGAGCTGGGGCTCAGGAAGAGGGTAGACTGGAGCATCTTGGGCCTCAGGCTTTTCCTGCAGACACTGATGATCTCCCCTTGCTCCAGAGGAGCAAAACTGAGGCTCAGAGAAGTCACTTTCCTAGGGTTTCCCAAAGTGAGGAGGAAGCCGACACACACCACAACACCAGGCAGGGAAAAGGCTCGCCCTGCCCCAGGCAGGCACCTACCTATCTCGGTGCAGTTCAGGACCCTGCACAGCTCAGTCAGGAATATCTGGAATTCAGGATTATCTTCCGCCCCCTGGACCTGGCTGCCCTCAACTGCGGAGAAGAGCACAGCACCCAGCAGCGCGTAGGTCACCAGGCAGCTGAGGAAGCAGAGGCCAGGCAGGAGCTTCCCCAGAGCTACAGGACAGCAGCCACTAGCCTGGGGCGGCCCTTCAGCCTCCATCTCCTGGAGCCTGAGGGTGGGCTGGAGAGCTGGACAGGAGGAGCTGGAGAAAGGCTGAGCTTCCAGGCCAGCAGGAGTAGGGAGGTGGGAGTGGCCGGAGTGGCTGGGCTCCAGCGCTGAGTGGATGCACATGCACTTCCCTGAGGACCAGGAAGCAGCCGGAACCCATCGTGTTCAATTCATCAGAGCGGCCCAGATGGCGCCCCTGGTATCACCCCAAATGGCTATTGATCCACCGGCCAGCCCCAGAGCAGCCAGGCAGGGCCTTCAGGAGGACGGGGTGGCTACTGTTTTATGCTGTTTGGCTTTTCCCCTCCTAAAATTGCAGTTTTCATTTCCAGGCACCAAACCCTGTTTTTGGTTCTCAGCCCATGACTATCATCCTGTAGCTGGCCTAGCCTACCTGATTCCCTGGGTAGGCAGTAAGAATGACAATAGGACACCCCGAGCTCCAGGTTTCCAAATGGCCTTAATCCTGTATGGCTCCGATTACTGGCCCAGTTCTTCATGCCCCTGTGGCATCCCCACCTGCACTGTGGCCTCACAGTGGACAGAGTACAGTTCCTTGACCCTCAGGCGTGGCCAAGTCACCTGCTGCTCCAGCCTGGTGGATAACCACAGACACAGGGACCAGCAGCTCTTCTTCCCTTTTCTCTCACAGGTCTACTGCCCAATAAGCAAGTAAAGATGTACTTCTTTGGTATCTGCCTGGCACCAAAAGGGTCTGAGAAGCTCTAATACCGGCTTTCAGGATGGGGACCTTCCACTCCCAAGTGGGAAGGGCACAACACACAGACAGTCGTTGGCACAAGGCAGCTGTTCCACTGTCCCACCATCCCCCAGTGTCGAACCGGGCTGGCACGTGGGCGAGTGCAGTGGTTCCAGCATTTGAAGCATACGAGAGGAATGAAAAATTCCAGAGTCATGAGTTCAGAAGGTCATTCCAAAGGGTCCCCAAGGGCCCATGTGAAGGAGGGAGGCTAGTGGACAGTGTGTAGACTCTTGCTACACCTGGGCCTTGTCATCTTCCTGCACAGTCCAGCCAACCTCCCCTCACCATCTGCCTCCTCTTCCCCTAGTCTCAGTGGATTCCCTGATGGAAGCCAACTCCTTACTTCCAGGCATCTGGCCCTCAGTAATCATATCTTTTGGGCCGTGGTGTCCATTCAAAGACATCGTGGGGGAAGAAGATACCAAGAGGCACCCAAATAGGACCCTTTGGCTGTACCCATGTCCTTGATGCAGGAAAAGTCTGGTTTCTTGCTTTGGATCAGGCTGATTTCCCTGACAAGAGGCCATTCCTTCTCTTGAGAGTTGGCTCCTGGATAGCAAGACCCTAAAATATTCAGGCAGCAGGTATAAGGTGTGTTTCGGTGGCCCTGTTCCTGGGTTTTTAGATATGGCCCCCTCAGGACCAGAGCTTTGGGGTTGGAAGAGGGCAAAGGCATGTGGCCACCACATCTGAAACTGGATGTGGGAGCCACAACACCTCACTGATCCCACCTCCAGTGACCCCCACTTTGGAGGCCCTACCCCCACACCCCATTCGGCCAGCACACCCCCATGACCCAGTCATCTTCCAAAAGCTCTACTTCTGAACACATGGGACTTCAGGATCCATCTGGATCTTAACCATAACACCTAGTTTATAAACCACTCCATTTTGATTTTTTTTTTCTTTTGTTTTCTCCCTCTCCTTTGAGACAAGTTCTTGCTATGTAGTTCAGTCTTGTCTTGAACTCACTGTGTAGGCCAGGCTGGCCTCAAACTCATGGTTATCTTCCTGCTTCAGCCTCCTGAGCCCTGCCTGGGATTACAGGTGCACACCTCCATGCCTGGTCTTGGCATGGAGTGCCAAGTGCACCAGTGTGAGCTGCCCACACATGAGCAACTGTGATGGCGGCAGTAGGACTGGGTGAGAAGCCGTCGGGAGCAGGGCTTTTGTGGGTAAAGTCAGGACTATGTGGGCTGGCCGCCACCCTTGCCTACCACACAGCCCTCCAGTGTGGCCTACGCCCTGCTGCATTTCAGAGGGAGGGCTTTTCTAACGGTGCCGCGGGTCAGCCAGCCCCAATTCCCAAGGAGAAAAGAAGATAGAGGCCTAAGCCCTCTGCTAATGAGGCAGCAGATGGATGTCATCCACCAACTGTAACATCCCCAGGGCCTTCTGATGACTTGAGGGTAATGAAGATTGCCCCTGTCCCATGGAACGAGACAGCACACATACATGGGCTCATGCACCTGCGTAGAGATGGATGAATACAAGGAGTGCTACAAACAGACTACACGTCTAGAGGCAGAAGAAAATGAGGCTAGGAGCTGGGGCTGCGCAGGCGGACGGAAGGGTAGGAGCCGGGGCTGCGCAGGTGGACGGATGGCTAGGAGCCGGGGCTGCCCGGGCGGACGGATGGCTAGGAGCCGGGGCTGCGCGGGCGGACGGATGGCTAGGAGCCGGGGCTGC